CGTCCTCCCCTGTTTTTTTTTTTTTTTTTTTTTTTACATGGGTTCTGGTGAGTGAACTCAGGACTTCATGCTTGTAAGGCAAGCCCTTTTCTGATTGGTTTAATAAAAAGCTGAATGGCCAATAGCTAGTCAAGATTTTCAGGACAGAGCGGACACCGGGAAGAAGAAGGTGGAGATGCCACGGAGACACAGAGCAAGGAGGATGGACACCATGGAGATGAGGTAATAAAGCCACAAGGCAAAAGTAAACCAATAGAAATTGGTTAATTTAAGTTATTAGAACTAGTTAGTTAGAAACAAGCCTAAGCTATCGGCCAAACTTTTATAAGTAATAAGAAGTCTCTATGTCATTATTGGGGAGCTGACAGTCCCTATGAAAATGTCCATCTACACTTTTTCCCTTGCTCTGTGTTTCTTTTTATAGTATGATGGGGCAAACCACTTTTTTGGCAAACCTCATATATAATAGACAAATTCTTTACCAATATCACTCAGTTACTTTCTCAGCACTCTAAAATTTGTAAGTGAGCTTAGTGAGGTCCTCAGGGCAGTTCATGCTATGCCACCAGCCCTACCCCCTTCTCTCAACTGCCCTCCTAGCCCTGCTCACTAGTATTTTGGTGGTGTAGGCACTGTTGATGGAGATGGCATGGACCAGAAGATCAAGGATCTTGGGGGTCAGGGCACTGGGAGCTGGAATTTCTTTGTAGTGGGTGTCTCCTAGGTAGGACTGGACCTCAGTCATGCGGTTGGTGGTGAGTGTGCCGGTCTTGTCAGAACAGATGGCTGTGGCATTGCCCATGGTCTCACAGGCATCCAGGTGGCGTACCAGGTTGTTGTCCTTCATCATTTTCTGTAAAGGGCAAAGATGGAGTAGGGGGTGCTTAGTTGTTTACTCATAAGGACAAAGGCAATGTGAGTGACACTAACCGTGCATTTGGTGACCTTGGTCATCTTTGGGCTGGGTGGTAATCAAACTGAGATAGTATGTATGTAAGATGCAAGGGCTGCTATCAGATGGGGAACAGTTGAGCTTCCAAGAAGCTACTCTCTGCATGGCTGACTTGGAAACTATCTGCCAGAGCTCCCTCTTCAATTGCCTGCTTACCTCCGTGTTCCTCCACACTCCCCTGGTTCTTCTTTAGTCTCTCACTGCCTCCTAGTGTCCCAAAACCTTTTCTGGGGCCCCTGTCTTCCTCTGCCTCTGAAAGCAACACCAGATCTCTTTTTTTTCTTGGTTCCTCTGACTCTCCCTTCCAGTGTTCCACAGATGAGCCAAGTCCGGGTCTCTCTCAACATCAGCTTGTTTCTAGCTCCCTTCACTGTGTCCAAGGGATGTGTGGTCTCAGTAGGACTCTCTGTTAGGATGTATTAGCAAAGTTCACCTCAGCTACTACCCTTCCCTCTTAGCATCTACAGCCTTCCTTAGTCCCCACTATACCTAAGGTGCTTGATGACATCCCACTCTAGTTTTATGGTCTGTGTGATGGAATTAATTGTAAGTAGTAGTATTATTACCTTGACAGAGTAAGCCAAGGAGATAGTGACAGCAAGAGGCAGGCCCTCAGGGACAGCCACAACCAAGACAGTGACTCCGATAATGAAGAACTTCACAAAGTACTGCACATAGATAGGTGTGCATTCTGGCAGCCACACCCGGCCATCCATGACGAAGGTATCAATCACAAAGTAGAGGACCAGGATGATAACAGTGATGGCAGACATCACCAACCCTGTAAGGCCATGATGGAGAGGGGCCACAAGAGGTGAGAGGAAAAAAGAAAGGAAGAAAAGTTGAAGGCAATGTAGCCATGGCTGGCCTAAGCCCAGCCAGGGCCTTTGCAAGGGGTTGATGGATTTTGGTCATCTTTGTGTATAAACAACTTGAGGCATGACTCCATAGAGTGAGAGGTCCTAGGGTAGCCTTTGCTCCAGTTCCTCGGGACAATGTGGGGTAAAGAGTAGAAAGATAAGGGTAAGAAAGGCACTTCTGTAAGGGACTAGCCATCCTAATATTTTGGGGATCTGGCCAGCAAGCTCTCAGTAAAGTTGGCTGTCTCTTGACTATGATGTGGCCAGAAGCCTTGCATCAGGGGCCTGCTAGGTAATATATGAGTGTGTGGCTTAGGCCTTATTGGAGTGGTGGATGCTAAGCCAGGCCTTGACAGTCATGGTTGGCTCTGGCCTGCACCTCTGGCCCTACAGTATATGCCACATTCTTCTACAATACTACCCATTTCTCTGTACATGAATTTGCCTAGGGCCAGGACAATATTCTGTCCTTTGCATTCACAGCATTTGGAACAGATACTACTTTCAGGAGCCCAGTGTATTTCAGGCTCCTGGCCTGATGTCTCTGGCTGAACATACCTGCTTTCCCAATCTGCACAGCCAGTTTTGTTAGCTTCCCTTGCAGAACTGACTTCTCCTTCTTGGGTATGTTGGCTTTCTTCTTTTCCCGCTCCTCCATTTCCCCACCCTCAGCACTCTTCAGGGGCTGCATTTCCATGGCAACAGCCCCATCCTGCTTCTTAGCTATAAATAGAAGAAATTCTTGGATGAAGTTAGGGCCTAGCAGGGGTAAAGGGGCTACAGAGGGCTTATAAGGAAAGACATGTCTCATCATATGGGATTCAATGGAGCACTTTTAATTTCAAAGGAATCTGTAGGCTTCTGTTGTGTCCTAAGCCCAAGCCCTTCTGAGGTAGGCAGGCAGTTGCAGCATTGTCCTAGGTGGGATAGAGAGATGGTTCTTTTCTGGGAAGGGTGGACAAACACTAGCACAAGGAAATTGTGCACAGACAATGTGGCCAGTCCAGTAATGCCCCAAATCTCAATACCTGAGAGAAGTCCTGTGGTTGGCCCAAGGAATGTTCTGGAACCAAAATCTGATTCATTTGCCCACAGATATCCAATCCACGTCTACTTTCCCCTCAAGGACACTAAGGGGCTCTAGTGTACACTCCTGTTAGCCTAGGCAGCCCTGCTCACCTTGCATCCTCCCACGGGCTCTGTGAACAAGCCTGTTCTGTCCCTCCTACTATTTCCCTACCTCCTTCTTGGATCAGGTGGATCCCCTCACTCCTTCTCTTTAGGCCTCTCAGTTTTCATTCTTGCTGCCTTTGTGGTGGTGACATGGATGCCTCATCTCCCTCTTTGCTAAGCTTTGCAAAGTCCTTGGGCTTGGGGCTCTCCAGCTACACTGTCAGAAGTAACCATGTCCAGCTGCTTCCTCCACTCTTCCTAAGGAAGGGACTGCCTAACCTAGCAGTTGTGGGGTGTCCCCAAGTTTGTCTTTTTCTTTTCTGCATCCCTTCATCTCACTGGCAGCCCAAGGGCACTTACCATAGCTCCTTCCTTCTAGCAACCTTGAGGACATGCCAGACCCTATCTAGCTGGGTCATTCTAGCTTTGAGTCCCTACCTACTGTTATACCACCAAGCAAGGGCTCTAGCCAATAGAATGCCTCCTGTCCCCAAATCCCTAACAACCTCAGGTATCTTCCAGGTTCTAGCTGACTCCTCTTACCTGGGAAATTCACAGGACTGGCACATAGGGATTTTGATAAGTTACCCTCTCTATGCCTCAGTTTCCTTATCTGGCCAAAGTGGTGTCAGGGTGTCCATAGGTAATTCTCATACATGGACAAGTTCAAGCCATGCTGATGGCCTTGGCACTGACCAGCTATTTTCCAGGTGGCTTGTCTGGGCTTCAAAAAAGCAGTGTTTGGTGGAACTTGGGCATCCTCCAAGGGTGTCCCCCTTTTTTGATGAGCCAGGATGGGACTTTGGGGCCCACTTACCTGTCTCTAGGTGCTGCTTCTTCCCTGGCAGCAGGTGGTCCCTCCCCATTCCCCCTCTTTCCCTCCTCCCCACAAGCTCCTCAGCTGCCCTAAGCCATGCACACACGTTACCTCTGGTTTGGCTACTGTCCATCGCCCCATCCTGCTGCTTGCCTACAATGGAAGAGGAATGACAGACACGGAGAGACTTGAGAACACCCATGTGGTCATGACATACATAGACACACAGGAAGAGCTTGGACACACATAGAAGTTTGTAGCTATATGGGGTAGAAGAGGAAAGGAGGGTCCTGATTGCTGGTAGCCATGGCCTTGCCTATGGAGGAGTCTTCTTGATGTCTTATACTTTCCAGGAGCAAGCTGTCAGTACCTCCCAGCATATGTTCACTGCATATACTTCATGCTTCCTGAGCCAAGCCTCATACCCAGTGTTTCCCACTGGGCCTTGACCTCAGCTCTATCTTGAGTTCCTAACACCAGTCCTGGATGGGCTCTGGGTCAGGTGAAGTAGCTGTGGACAGTTTCTGGAAGGCCTGCTGCCTTAAAGGATGCCCTTTCCTTAGATGTCCCAAAAGGAGGTAACTCCCAAGCCATGGACCAACCTAACCCATTTCTCTGAGGCCACTACTAGGAGGTGTGTGTCCTTTAAAGGGATAAGGGCTCTGCATGTTTCATAGACCTGTTGGGCACATTGAAACTGTGGGTTCAGGTTTACTGTGCATAGGAAGTCTAAGTGTTAGGTACCTAGAAGCACTAGGGAGAAGGTGCAAAGACTGAACTCCAGGTAGCCCTGTCTGAAGCCTCAGGTTGGGTACAGCCCATAGTGCCAGCCACTCTTTCTGAGGGCTGCACAACTCAGGTGGAAGTTAGAGGAGTTTAACTGGGGACCACATCTTCACTGCTCCAAATTTAGGGAGAATCTTCCAGCACAGAATCAGTTGCCATGATCACTGGGGCATCAAAGAACGGACAGTGTGTCAGGTAGCTTTTAGGCAATAG